TTTTTTTTTTTTTTTTTAATTTTATAAGAGACAGGGCCTCCCTCTGTCGCCCAGGTTGCAGGGCAGCAGCAATTAGAGCTCACAGCAGCCTTGAACTTCTGGGCTCAAGTGATCCTCTAGAGTAGCTGAGACTATAGGCATGAACCACGATGACTGGCTCAGAATTTCTAGAATGATCTGCACATGTGTAGAAGAGCCATGCAGAAAATTTTTATACCCTGCACTGCTGCGAGGTATTTTATGCCCTAAGAATGTACTTTACTCACAGTTGATATACTAAGAAAGGAAGAGATCAGAGGCTGAAGGTAATTTTATTGTGGTATCATTGTGTTGGCATTACTTCATTTTCTGGATTCCAGTGATAAGTAATAAGCTTTAAAATTCTCTATTATAAATAAAATAATTTGCCACAAATTAAGTGACTTATTTGGAGTACAATGGCATAAAATGAGTCTTTGCTAAACTGAGTGGAAATACATAAGTCAGAGTGAACTAGACTTGAGAAAAGTCAGAGGAAATCCAGCAAGTTCGTGTTGTCTTTGTGCTTCCCAGTCTAATGTCTTTTCTTCCTGCTTACCTTTTTCTTTAAGGTTCAGTTCAGAAGTCTCATAAGCTTCATCTCTCCACTTCCCTGAATTATTCTGGGCAGAGGGTTGAAGCATATCAACCACAGATATTGGCAGGCCATAATGGATTTATTGGCCTTCTATCCAAGGTCTGGATAGAAACCAGACCTTCAGTAGTCTCAACCATCTGGAACTGAAATGATAAATCTAGAAATGATAAAAAAAAGTTCTCTGAGTAACAGATATTTTTCATAACACCTAGGCACTAAAGTCAGTGTGTTTTATTTCACAGAACAGATGATCTGCCCTTAGGCAAGACTACTGAATATAAAATTGGGTGGTAGATTAAAGTAGGGACATAACGATGTAACAAATAATGATAACAGAAAAGACGGGAAAACACATTAAATAGCAGGATGGGCTATAGCCATTTAATATAGGCTCAGAGGTGCAGTAATTTGCCTGTGATCATCCAGCTAGTAAGTGAAATTGTCTGGGTTTGGATTCAGATTGATTCCCATTCATTCCTCTTTTCACTGAAAGGTTCCATGCTAAGTCATCTTGGGAAAGACGTTTGCCCAGCATGACCATTGCTTAGGAGCAGGGTTCAAACTTGATTTTGTAGCAGTTTGACGTTTTTGAGCAGGGGAAGGACTTGGTATTTTTTTAGGTTATTAATGAGTCATCTGAAAAATTCATTGGAGTAGCAGACATGTGAGGTAAGGAGAAGACCATTTAAGACATTAGAGTTAAATAGGAGTGAATTAATAAATGACTTGGAAGGCAGAAGAAAAATTGAGATAAAGTAAGGGAAGATGTTTGAGGCCCAGAGATAGTGCCTTTATTTGAGACAGGGTCTCACTCTATCATTCAGGCTGCAGTGCAGTGGCATGATCTTAGATCATTGCAACCCCCACCTCCTGGGCTTACCTCAGCCTCCCGAATAGCTGAGACTACAGGCATGCACTACCATGCCTGGCTAATTTTTGTAATTTTTTTGTAGAGACTGGGTTTGGCCATGTTGCTCAGGCTGGTCTTAACTCCTAAGCTCAAGTGATCCACCTGCCTTGGTCTCCCAAAGTGCTGGGATCATTGCCCAGCTAGATAGTGCCATTTTCAAGAGGATCAAAGGATGTTAAGAGTCAATGGGAAGCAACTTTGAGTTCAACCACTTCATTTAAAGAAGTAGGGTAACTGAAGCCCTGAGATAAGAAGTACCTTGGTCTAAGGTCCTGGAGCTAGGAAAGGCCTCTTTCAACAGTCTTTTACCCAGCTCTGTCCTTCCATTCTCATTGTGCTGCAATCCTAAACTACTCAATTAAAATTACCTGGCAGGTATTATTGAAGTACGTACCCTCTGTTTATACTCCAAATCCCTCCTTGTTGCCCTCATAGCCACTTAGACATCACAGTATATTTCTAACTGTGACTGTGTCTTCACTGCCCTCTGTCTCTATGATTGAAGAGCCATCTCATTGAACTGATCACAGATTTCTCCTTGAGGCTTGTCTTTTTACTGTGGTATTTCCTCCCCTAGAATGTCTTGCTATCTTGGATTTAGAATATTTCTGTACTTGGATTTATTTCCATTGAATTTTTAAGTATCTCTCCCACACTGTCCATTATGGGACAGCTGTTGACATAGACCATGGTGGCTGTTACAATGGAGGAATCTTCTTTAAAAGGATGTTCTCACTGCCCTATTTATCAAGACTGCATGAGTCACTTTTTCTTCTTTTCTTCTTGGAATCTCCTTTCATGTTTTCGGTGTCATAGAATGACTGATTGACAGAAACCTTGAATATCACCTTAACTAAACGCCTTTATTTTATAGATTTAAAAACCAATGGCGCTAGGAAATTGGAGCTTTTCCAAGGTCATGGTGAGTTAGTGACAGTAAAAGAAGGTTGCTTGATCTGTCAACTAGTCTTCTCATTTATGAAATGGAGATGATTCCAACTTTAACTACCTCAGACTTTTAAAATGAGAATTAGTGAGGGACAATTGTGAAAACCATAAACAAAATGGAAGTATCATCAATGCTTTTAGTTCAAGGCAAAGCTGTACTCTTTGAAGTTGAACAAAATGAGGAGTACTTATTGTTATAAGATTTGCTTTTTATTAGGTTGTAAATTTCTTGCTGGCAGAGATCTTAGAAGCTAGTTCAACTTCTAATTTAGTATTTTACATGTAGGAGAATTGAGGTCACACAGTTAGTTAGCAGAGCCCAGAATTCATCTCAGCCCCTTTATTCCACATTGCATACACAGCACCCTGTATTTGCGATCTAGTGTGCAGGCACAAGAGCAGTTCCAACACACTGAGATTTGTGCTGCTGTGAAGAAACGTGGAAAATGAGAGCAGAATGTCCCTCATCCTCAGTGTGACAGTTCCTTATGGGCTTCTGTGGTTTGCTCCAGCAGGGTGTGGACAGCTTCTTTTGAGTCATTGTCTAAAATCAGTAGACATTTCTTTGTATTCGTAGCTGAGGTTAACAAGCACACTTCTTCCTGATTTCTTCCTTCATCTAAGTTGTTCTTGTCATTTTAGAGCTGTCTTGTCATAATGCTCAGGGAAAGTACATAGGCCAGAGTCCTTTTTACTGTCAGGAGTTTCACATGTGAAAGCCAGGGTGGTGAAGCAACAAATTCATGTTAAAAAAGTCACTGTGACTAGGGAGTTCTAGGCTGGAGGAAGGGTGGGATATCTGTCAGGGATGCATACATAGTAGTATAGACACTGGGAATGAGTTTTGCTTCTGCCAGTACCTATATTACATATCTAATCCTCTCAACTCCCAGCTTTGTAGGGGAGGTAGCAGTCTGAATTGTGTTCATCTTCACCTTGTCTGGCAACAGATACCATCTCATTTCCCTTTCGTGTAATTGCTTGCATCGTGGCTTTATGTGCGAAATATGTATTACTTTGGAAACATTTGAAATATCTAAACAAAATCATCAGAACAATATTTCTCTCTCTTTCTTTTTTTTAATGCAACAGAAAATGCCCCAAAAACAATAGAGGACGTCGACAGAAGCAAAACCTAGGTCATTTTACTTCAGATACGTCATCCAGAATGGTTTGAACTGATGACTTTTATATGTACACTGACCATGTGATGTACATGTATTATGTCTTTTTTTAAAGAATGGAAATATTTATTTCAGAGGCCTTATTTTTGGACATTTTTAGTGTAGTACTGTTGGCTCGTATTTAGAATATTCAGCTACGACAGTTTGGGACTGTTTAGTAGTCTTTGTTTTATGTTTTTAAATACAGAAATTGCTTTCACAAATTTGTACCACATGGTAATTCTAAGACTTGTTATTTACCCGTGGAATGTAATATTTTTACAAAGATGGACCACTTCACAAATGGTTATAAAGTCATATCCACTTCTTCCACAATGACCACAGCAAATGACTAAGCATGAACTAAAGGTAAAGATGTTTACAGATTACTTTTCTTACAAAACAAATCTAGAAGACACTGTGTTTAAATAGATTATTTAAATGTTTTTGAGATTTAGTTACTGATTTTTTAGACACTGCCTATTGCATGAACTGTAAAGCTGTGTGTGTTAGGTGTAAAATACTTACAAGATATATGGACTGGGGAATTTGGTTATTCCTCCCTTTGAAAAAATAATTCTAATAATTTTGAAAAAGTATGTTAGTAATGATGAAACAGATCAGTGAAAAATAGATTTAGATATTGTGAAAATAGGCTGTTTAACAAACAGATTGGAATAAAGCCTATTCTACCAGTTAAACTACTTTAATACACGTTCATTTTTAAAGAAAATATTTGTTTTAACATAAATAAACAAATCGTATCAGTGTTTGTGAATAAAATACAAAAATGATTGTTAATGATTGGTGCTCTTAGAGTGAGCTTAAAAATTATCTAAGACCTCTATCCAAATTTGTCCTGTAGTAATAGATTAATATTCATAGATTGTTGGTGTTTAAAGATCTGAAGTGTGAGTAGAATGTATTAAGCTGTTTAACGTGTAGTTTAGATGTTCAAAAGTATGCATGTAGAATTTAAAGAATATGTTAAAAATTATTAATTTTAATATTTTGTTTGGAAAAGCATGTTATAATATAATGTTTTCACTATATGGCCTCTGTTTTGGTGTGTTTATTTACCAAATTTTTCAATATTGGTGTTTCAATATATTTAATATGTGAAATTAGTAGAAAAAGCAGATTTTAGTTAAGAATTCCCCTTTGCTATTACAAATACTGAATGAAAGGATCTAAAGGCAAAAGCTTTACCCAACATTTGGAGTTAGCTTTTTTGATCATTTGGTTTCTAGGTTTAATATTAGTTACATAGTGGCTTTAGTGAACTTTAAAAAAAACTTTCCTCTTCTACCCACACAGTCTTATTTGAGTCCCTTAGTCAGTCAGCAAGCATGTTTGGAACAGTCCCTGGTGCTTTGCAAGGGTTCAGATTGCAGAACAGTCACATATGGGCATTTGTAGTTATAAATACTTGACCGTTCTCCAGGGGTGGAGTTTCCAACTCTTTAAACAACGCTGTTGCCTGTTACCAAGCTGACTTTTTGCTCTAAGTGCCAGAATTGATTGTGGTTAGGACACCTTTCGCTGAGAAATAAATAAAATGGAACATAATGGATCTGCTTCAAATGCTGATAAAATCCACCAGAATCGCCTATCAAGTGTTACGGAAGACGAAGACCAAGACGCTGCTCTTACCATTGTGACTGTGCTGGACAAAGTAGCCTCCATCGTGGACAGTGTGCAGGCAAGCCAGAAGAGAATAGAAGAGAGACACAGGGAAATGGAAAATGCCATAAAATCCGTCCAGATTGACCTGTTGAAGCTTTCACAGTCACATGGCAATACAGGCCATATCATTAACAAGTTGTTTGAGAAAACCCGAAAAGTCAGTGCTCACATTAAAGATGTGAAAGCTCGGGTGGAGAAGCAGCAAATTCATGTTAAAAAAGTTGAAGTCACGCAAGAGGAAATAATGAAGAAAAACAAATTCCGGGTGGTAATATTCCAGGTAAGCTTGTACTTGTGTTCAGCTTGCTTGTTATGTATGATCTCTTGCATCTTTTGATTGTAAAAAAATCATATCACAGGTTTCGAGTGTCACATGTTAACTATTGTATATATTAATACAATGGGGTTCTGTATTACAGAGATCTCAGGATAAAACCATTGCCGTGTTAACCAAAGTACTATCTATCATTTTGGTATTTTGAACTTCTCAACCATTTTGTGTAATATGAACTGTGGCTCATAGCTTAGGCTATTTCTTGCATTTGAAAGTTAATATTGGTAAGGCCCTTTCAGCATATTAGCCTTATTAGCTTGCTGCTCTCTCACAGACTTTGAAAATGTTCGAACTAAAACAGGATTCAGAAACCTCTAGTTTAAAACACTTCTTTGTTCTCTAAAAGAAGAAACTGACAACCAGTAGCTCCACAGTGTGGTTTTTTTTTTTTTTTTTTTTTTTTTTCCACTTACGTGGAGCATCTGTAAAGCCCTAAACAGCCCTAAACTTTTCAGAACGTGATTTGTATATTGAAGTTTTTACAGACAGATCACAATGATAGCTATTTCCCAATGAATATTGAAGCAATTATTGTTATTATAGTAGCAATATATTATACAAATATATGAGTCACGTAAATAATTCCTTATGTTTGATTACAAAATCTTTTTACTTAACTGATTTAATATAATTTTTTTTATGTGTGGTATTGTGTAATTAGCTAAGTTCCCATATTATTCTATGCTTGGCACTCATATTTTTGGAAATAGGAACATATTCATGGCAAATGCATATCTATGGTGTATTTTTAAAACTCTTACAGTTAAAAGGAAAAAAAATTGAACATTCCTTCACAGTAGAAAAATGGAAAACTGTGATTATCAGGCAGTTTACAAAACACAAATAAGAATAAAATTCTACTTTCACCTATTTAAATATTGGCAATTATTAAAACCTATACTTACAGGTTAATTTAAGGATTGGAAAAAAACACTTTCATATTTTGTTGGTAGAAATACTGATATAACATTTTCAAAAGGCAAATTTGGTAGTACATATTAAGAAATTTTAAAATTCACAAACTTTTTGGCCCCCAAATTTTATGTCAAAGAATTTGTTCTATGCATAAAATCAGGAATGTGTGCAGGGATGTTCCTCGGTGCATATGAAGTGTTATTTTTTTTAAATGACACCTGTATTTTAAAAACAAGTACTTATGTACATAGGGAAAAAACTCTAGAAGAATATAAGCTAAATGAAATAGGAACACAGTTGGATTATGTAGAAGATAATTTGTAAAACATGAGGGATGTGGCCTGTAACTCCCCACAACATTCTTTACACACTAGGCAATTCTCCATAGCCCTCTGTTGACTGATAAGGTTACACTGTGATGGTAAACTGGTATTTCAGATCTGTTTTTAAGAGCCTGTAGGTTATTCGGGAAAAATAATAGGGAAGAGAGTGAAGAGTTGCTTATTTCAAAGGTAGATAGGGCAGACTGTGCCATTTGAAATTCTTTATCATTTCCCTTTCCTTTCATGTCCCTGGAAGCCCTTCTATAGGCTTAAAAATTTGGGAAAAGAAGACAAAGCCTGGGCAATGTGACAAAACCCCGTCTCTATAAAAATTACAAAAGTTAACCAGGTGTGTTGTTGTGTGCCTGTGTTCCCTACTACTCAGGAGGCTAAGGTGGGAGGGTCACCTGAGCCTGGGGAGGTCAAGGCTACAGTGAGCCATGATTGTGCGACTGCACTCCTGCCTGGGTTAGATAGTGAGACCCTGTCTTAAGAAAAAAAAAATTGAAAAATTGAAAAAAATCAGTCATCTGATTTTCAGAGGCCAGTTCCAGTGTTGGTATATGTAGTGGGAAATGTAGTATCCATTCTTTGATTCACCTTCTGTAGGCATTCACAATTGTGGATGTATCTTACCCTCCACTGGCATGGGCGCATGGCCAGGAAACATACTTGGCATTCACCACTGCTCTGAACCTTTGTGCAAAGCAGTGGACTAAGTGCCAATCAAGATTTACAAAAGCAAGAGCAAAGAAGTTTCTGAAAAGTTTCCATTGACTCTGTTCATTGACATAACTCTGCTTTCAACTTTAAGATGTTTCTGTGTTCACCTGTTTAGTCCCTGTGACTTACTGCTAATTGTTCCTTTCTTTGATCCCTTGTAGTTATTTAAAGCAGCTGAGGGGTGCTAGTTTAGGTCACATCTCTTTTCTTGTAAGAAATAATGCCATAAAGATTCTGTATAATTAAGCTGTTCAGAGTAAGCAGCAGTTCATCAAAAAGTAATTGCTATCATTTATAATGGGAGAGCTTGTAGAGAAAAGATAAATGGACATAGAACTCTGATTCAAAGATGCATTCAGAGTGTTAGGACACTGTATACATGGTCACATGGTTATTCTTGGCAGTTAAAATTAGTTATAATTAATCATCATCATCAAGGTGTGAAAGTGGTTATATTCAGATTGCCCTTCTACTAAAATTAACTTGAAACCAAGCAATTCAGCCATAATTACTTTGAGAGCTTGTTTGGAGGTTCTAGCAGGGGAGCACAGCTACTTGTATACCCTTGAGCCAACAAGACCAGTCCTCCTCCATTGTAGATGGTCGTCGTTTTTGACCAAGTGTGTGGCTTCAGGAGGGACACATATGGAGCGGTGAGGGAGGAAGGGTCACCCGCCTAGTCAGCCAGATCAGCTGAATCAACCCTGGCCATCAGTGAGGTGACAGATATTGCAGTCAGATCGCCTTCACATCCCCTAGCTATATTACTTTGATGTTCAGTCCAGCCCACAGTACTCTGATGCACCGTATTCATTGTTATAAAAATGGTCTTTTTACCTGGAGTTTTATATTAAGAGACATAATTATATTTGGAAATCAACTATAATTCAACATCTGCAATCTTCAGTTACTGTAACAGTCTATTCACCATTAGTTCATGATATCTCGGTTTCATTGGAGTTGCAACAAATAGATCCACATAACAAGTACTTTTTTTTTGACTCTACCCCTGTTTTGTTTTATTTTAAAGCCTGATTTTATATTATTTGTTGTGTACGTAAAGAGGGGTATGTGATTCCTGGGTTAAGCTATATCTGATTTTTTCACAGCAGGATTGTGTTTTTTCCCCTACCTAACAGTAATTAACTTTTGGCTCTTTCCTTTTCTAATTATACCTTCTCAGGCCGTACCAACCCACATTGTGTTGCTGAAGCTACTCCCTGCAGCAGGTGTCAGGAAAGGAGAGGAATAATTCCGCTGCTTCTAACTGATTCATCAGAGAGTTATGAGACGCCTACCCCTGCCTTTTTTTAGCTCCTAAGCTCTCTAATCCTATAGCCAAAGAATTTAATTTTAAATAAATATCCAAAGAAATAAGGTTCCAGGGATATATTCTTGCTTATCAGGCTGATAGGTTTTAGAATATGCATAAATGTGTTTTGTATATATTTATATATTTTTTGATTGAATAGATTTAATCTGGATTTCATGTGGGAGCACAGTTTCTTTTAGAAATTTTAACTCGTGGTTCAGTTAAAAATCTCTTAATTTTTCAAGTTTTGTCTGTTTAGTTTTAGAAATGCTCCCTAAATAGTCAGTTGGGTTCCTCTAGCTGCTGCGGTTGGGCTGGCTCTCAAGGCCTCCGGTGTGAGTCATGTCCCAAATCCAATTCTCATCCTTATTTTTTTGACCCGTTTGGCACAATTAGACCTCCCTCTCCCCACCCCACCCCTTTCTCTCTCAAGAGACAGGGTCTTGCATTGTTGCCCAGGCTAGAGTTCTATCGTGCAATCATAGCTCACTGCAGCCTCCAACTCCTGGGGGAAAATGGTCTTCCGTCTTCAGCCTTCCAAGTAGCAGGGACTACAGGTGTGCACCGCCCTGCCTGGCTGCACTTTGAAATATTCGTAGTGATGAGGTCTCACTTTGTTGCCTGGACTGGTCTTGTCCTCAAGTGATCCTCCCGCCTTAGCCTCCCAAAGTGTTGGGATTACAGGCATGAACCACTGCACCCAGCCCCTCCCTTTCCTCTCGAAACTTTTCTCCTTGACTTCTGGGATTACTACTCAATTTGGGAGTTCCCCCTGCCTCACTGGCTGGTATTTGTCTTTTTTGTTTTTGTTGTTCTCATTTCTTCTTTTTACCAGTCCCAAATCCATGTTCGACACTCACATTCAAAAATTCTTAAAAAAATTTTTTTATAACATATTTGACAGCAAGACCTAAGTTGACCTGAAATTATTCAGTAAAAAAACTTGACCTAAATTAGCAGGAGGCTATAGTTTTTATCCCATCTTAGTGTGAATATTCATATATATATATTTTTTTGCCACAGAAATGTTTCTTCCAAGATCTTGCTGGGAATGTTATGTAATAAACCATATTATTTCCAAAGTCTGAAATATTCTGAATTCTGAAACACACTTTGGTGCCAAGGAGTTTTGAGTAAAACAGAGCATAGACCCATTCACTCAGTTTCTTGACGATCTCTCTCATTTGGTCTCATGACTTTAATTCCGTCATTACATCAATGACTCCTAAATTTGGATGTCTAGCCCAGCCCTCTCTTCTGAATTCCAGACTCATCTGCTCAGCTGCCTTCTCAGTGCCTGTGCTTGCATGGCTAGTGGGTGTCTCCAAGACAGCATGTTCAGACCCTATCCTTCCCCTCCAGTCTCTTCCTTCTGCCATCTCCCCTATCTCAGTTAATGGCAGATCTGTCCTTCATCTGCTCAGGCTATGTACTTGAGGGTCGTTCTTGACACTCTGGCACTGCACATCCAAATCTAGTGACAAATCTTGTTGGCTCCTACCTTCAAAGCAGCTCAAAATCAGACTGCTTCTCGCCCCCTCCCCCGTCAGCACCCTTATCCAGTACTCACTTGCATCAGTGCTCTCCGCCTGTTCTCCCTGCTTCTTTTCTTGCCCCACACTCTTTTCAGCAGTGATCCTTTTATAATGTTGGTCAGATCCTGGCACTATTCTCCTGCAAGCCATTAACTAATCAATCAATCAATTAATTATGGAGTCTTGCTCTGTTGCCCAGATTGGAGTGCAGTAGCATAATCTCAGTTCACTGCAACCTCCACCTCCTGGGTTTAAGTGATTCTTCTGTCTTAGCCTCCCGAGTAGCTGGGATTACAGCTATGTGTCATGACACCTGGCTAGTTTTTGTATTTTTAGTAGAGACTATTTCGCCATGTTGACCAGGCTGGTCTTGAACTCCTGACCTCAGGTGATCCTCCCATCTCGGTCTTCCGAAGTGCTGGGATTACAGGCATGAGCCCCCGTGCCCGGCTTCCTGCAAGCCTTTTAGAAGGCTTCCTTTTATGCTCAGAATAAAAGCCACTGCCCTCACCATTGGATACAGAGCCTTGCATGACCTGGGCCACCTGTTCTCTTTCTTACCCTTTTGTCTCCCCCTCTTCCCCCTGGATCACTCTGCTCTCATCACACGGCCCTCCCCACTGTTTCTCTGTTCTTCCCAGATCTATACACAGCCTTCAGGTCTAGGCTCAGGTGTCACCATATGAGTGAGGCCTTTCTGACCACCGTAGTTCAAACAGCACCTTTTTTGTCACTGCACGTACCCCTTCCCTGCTTTCGTTCTCACCTTAGCAGGTATCACCATCTAACATGCTATATAGATTTTACTTGTTTGTCTCTCTCCAAGAATATAAGCTCTTTGACTCTTCTGTCTTCAAAGAAGTTTTGCAGTTTCTAGAACCAGAAAATTTACTGCTTCGTGGTGGTGCTTAATAACTTGGTTGAAGGAGGCGGTACACCTGGTTTGGTCCAATAATCATTTATCGAGTGTGCTTACTACGTTCAAGACACTCTGATAGATGCTGGGCATAAAATGTAACATGATCTCTCCTTTTAAGGAATCTGGAGGCCTCCAGGAGACACATATTTTTGAGTAAAGCTCCAATTCAAACTGTGATACATGTTATAAACAGAGGTATATATGTGTAAATTTGAGATAGAGTTAGCCGTGTGGGGAAGTTGGGGACATTTGAATTGATTCTTGAAGAAAGATTTTGTTTATAAAGCCAAAAAGGGTAAAGGGGCACTTGAGATATCAGAAACTTCTGGGCATGGTAACATGTGCCTGTAGTCCCAGCTACTTGGGAGACAGAAGCAGGAGGATTCCTTGAGTCTAGGAGTTCCAGTCCAGCCTGAGCAACATAGTGAGATCCCGTCATTATGAAAAAAGGAAGATATCAGAAATCACTTATACATAGGCATAGAGGGATGAAAACATCTTGTGCTTGAGGAATTGAGAGTGATTGTATGTTTCTGGGCTGGAAGAGTGGGAAAGTGGGTTTAGCTAAAGCGGAGGAGCCTTCTAATCATACGGAAGAATTTGAACTTCCTTCTTTGAGTATTGGTGAGCTTTCCAAAGTTTAAAGCAGAGAAAAGATGTGATCAAAGCCAGGCTTTAGTAATATTTCTCAGACAGTACTTAGGTGATGTTCTGGAAGTAGAAGGATCAATGAGGAGGCATTATACAAGTTTACGACTGAGATGACAAGGGCCACAATCCAGACATTGGGAGAGGGAATGAGGAAGGAGGAGGAACAGATGAGTAGTTAGGCAGTATTATCGACAAAGCTTGGTGACCAGTTGGATATGGAATGAGAGGGAGAGGAAATATGTGGGATGATGATTCAGGAGTTTCTATGTTATTTGGCACCTGGATGAGTGTTAGTGATGAGAGGTACAGGAAAGAAGTAGAAATGGAGAGGATGGTGAATGGGCCTTGATTTTTGGACTTGCTGAGTTCGAGGTGACTGTTACCTCTCAAACTGTGGAGCAGTCTGCCTATCATTCACATATGTGTATTCATCTTAGGAGACAGGGGGAGTGAAGATAAAATACATGTGAGTTTATTTACAATTGGATCTGAAAAATGGAGTGGATAAGGTTGCTCAGGGTGAGCCTGGGAGATGAAGAAGAAGAAAGGGCCAAGGTAAGATAAACCTTAAGAAATGCTAACATTTAAGGAGTGGGCAGAGGATAAACAGCCTATGGCAGAGATTTACAAGTCATGGCCAGAAGGTAGAAGACCTGATCTCTAGTGCAAAGGAAGGACTAATATGCTTTGTTTTTCTCTCTCCTTCAGGAGAAGTTTCGGTGTCCGACATCTCTGTCTGTTGTTAAAGACAGAAACCTCACTGAGAATCAGGAAGAGGATGTCGATGATGTCTTTGATCCCCCAGTAGACCTCTCCTCGGATGAAGAATATTATGTTGAAGAAAGCAGATCTGCCAGGCTTAGGAAGTCAGGCAAGGAGCACATTGATAATATCAAGAAGGCGTTTTCCAAAGAAAACATGCAGAAGACACGGCAGAATTTTGACAAGAAAGTGAACAGAATTAGAACTAGAATAGTGACCCCGGAGAGGAGAGAAAGGCTAAGGCAGTCAGGAGAGAGGCTGAGACAGTCAGGAGAGAGGCTGAGACAGTCAGGGGAGAGGCTGAGACAGTCAGGAGAGAGGTTTAAGAAATCTATTTCTAATGCAGCTCCCTCCAAGGAAGCTTTTAAGATGCGTAGCCTCAGGAAAGGTAAGGACCGAACAGTGGCAGAAGGTGAGGAATGTGCCAGGGAGATGGGCGTGGACATCATTGCCAGGAGCGAATCTGTGGGTCCCATCAGTGAACTCTACTCTGATGAGCTCAGTGAACCAGAACATGCGGCAGCCAGGCCGGTGTATCCTGCCCATGAAGGAAGGGAAATCCCCACCCCTGAGCCTTTAAAAGTTACTTTTAAACCTCAGGTGAAAGTAGAGGATGATGAATCTCTTTTGTTAGATTTGAAGCAGTCATCATAAAGAGGAATTAAGTGTATCCTAAATATGAATCTCCTAATCATGCAGTTTTTGTTTGAATAGTGTGTAGTCATCTATATTTCTGTGCCATGTAGGAAAACATAAATGCTTTTTTTTCTTATATTTAAAATCTTGAGGGTAGTATAAATATTATATACATTTCCTTGTAACTTCCTTGGGAATTCTTCCCCCCACTGCACTGCCCCCCACCACCCGCCCCAAGGTTATGTGATTCCTGCAGCTTTTTCTCTTAGGTCACTCTTTCTCACGGCAGCTGTGGATTTTTTAGTTCTTTTCTCTTGTCCACCAGAAAAATAGTTTCCTAGGGTGGGTCAGTTACATGTTTGGTAAGGGCAACTTTGTGGCCATCATTTGCAAGTGAACTTTAAATACTGGTTAGGATTAATATTGTGGCCAACCTCAAAGGGGAGTAACTCACGTGTGGGTTGTATCATCCAAATATTCAGATCAACAGATTTGTTAGTAAATTAGCAGTCACACCCCTTTATTGATGCTTTCACATTAAATAATTGAAGTTCTGGACTTGAACATCTGCCTCTAGTATCATAGCTTTACTTACAAGAAAACCCTTGGCAAGTCATCTGTTTATTCTCATCAGTGAAGATGGAGAGGGTTGGCTGTGCTGTCCGCCTCAGAGGACTGTTGTGAAGATCAAAGGAAATGGTACACATTCTGGGGACTAAGAAGCACACCCAGAGAAGGCAAGCCTCACCAGTTCCTGAAAAAACAGAATCGAAAGAATTATACCCTCTGAAAAAGCCCTGAGCACCAATTGATGAGGTCCTAGGTTGGACAGAAACTAAAGTTGGTCTTCAGAAGACTTTTCACAGAATCAAGAGTAAAAAATAAATAACTGTTTGGGTGACCACTTTTTCATCAGACTAAAACTAAACCTTGGGTTTTAGTTGGGTCTCAAAGTGTTCCCTGGCTAAGTCCTTTCTGATTTCCTTTCAATTAAGATCTTCGGTGGACTGTAGTACTGCATTTGGCTGAGCAGTATGAGGCATAACATTGTGGCTGTGTTGTCAAGTGGGCCTTTCTAAAGTTGGCCCTGATGCATTGTGTTTGGAAGTGACCTCAAATATTCTTGTTTTTCTGAGTGTGCTCTTCAGGGCCCAACTGTCCAAAACAATGTTCATAGGAGTTAATCGTAGCGGCTTTGGGAGGAACCCAGATTCCCCTTGTTAGCTTTAGCTTGTTGAATCCAGAAATTAGAACAATGTCTATTGTTGCTAAAGAAAGAAAGAAATGGGCCAGGCACAGTGGCTCATGCAAGCAATCCCAGCCCTTTGGGAGGCTGAGGCGGGTGAATAACTTGAGGTCAGAAGTTCAAGACCAACCTGACCAATATGGTGAAACCCCGACTCTACTAAAAATACAAAAATTAGCTGGGTGTGGCGGCATGTGCCTGTCCCAGCTGCTTGGGAGGCTGAGACAGCAGAATTGCTTGAACCCAGGAGGTGGAGGTTGCAGTGAGCCAAGATTGTGCCACTGCATTCAAGCCTGGGTGACAGAGCAATACTCTGTCTCAAAAAAAAAAAAAAAAAGAGGAAAGAAAGAAATGGTCATACTGGTTCTGTACTTATAGGATGTTCAATGTAGCATGTAGCATGGTGTTGTAATAGAGAAGAAATGATGGAATTGTTGAATTTGAAGAGTTGGGACAACAATCAGCTGTCCCACTTTTTTTCTCACTTTCAGATCAGTTTTTGGATAATCCTATGGTAGTTGGAGTAAGTATACACATCTACACATAGGCATACATAAATTGGCTTTAAAATATTTGACTCTGTTACCCAGATATTTGAGTTTTGGGAGTCTGATTCAGCATTGTTTCCTCTTCAACCTGCATGAATACATAAAATCATAAATTGTTCATCTTGTTACCTTTTTATATTGAAAATTAAAGTGTATACAGCATTGGATAACACTTTCAAATGAATAATTTTAAAATGTTTTTATAACATTTTGAAAGCTCTTAGATGACTAATCACATATTTTTTAGGAGCCATAATAAATTTGAATTTAAGAAAACATTGTTACAATGTTTGATATTAGTGTCCCATAAATATTTTTACTAATAATGCAAATAGTGAATGTAAAGAAGTTAACAAGTTTTTCTTTCTTCTAGCCCTATGCAGAATAAATATCAGTTGGCTGGAAATGTTTTTCTGCAAATATTACTGTCATGGAATTTTTGTAGTCAGTTTGCTTACTGACTCATTATATAACCAGACTTGACATTTTATGGAACATTTCACCTATAGCTGTATTTGAATTTTGATGAGGAAGGAGTTATAAGCTGGTCAGCTCTTCATCATGGTAGACTTGGTGCAACCCCAAAACACTAAGCAGTCTCATGTCCCTGGAGGTTTACGGTAAACTTGTACTGCTCTCTTGTTACTATAATTTTCCCTCCTCCACATTACTTCAGTCTCTCTTCATTTCTTCCCACATTTGGGACATTCTGAAATTCTTCATTCATAATTTATTATCTCTTTAACTTAATTTTCTTGATATAAAATAATGGGCTGTAAAACCACACATCTCATTTGATGTAAGAAATATTCTAGTCAGTGTTCCTATTTTAAAAGTTTTACATAACAGGGACAGATTATTTTACTTATTCATCTGTATTTTAGAAATTTTACATACCAGATTTTAAACAATGTATTGAAATGAAACCATTAGCAAGATTCCTTGGTCTGAGACAGAACAGTGCAGCATCTATAGACACCAGGGGGCATGGAACTACTCAAGATCTTCTGCAGAATAGACAGGATAGGGGAGGGCGTGCAAGTCTATCTTCTGAACTCGATGATCCACGTCTTTCCTCTGAGTGGGTGATAGCCTGATTCTAGCTTATTGGTTAGAGAAGCAGGGCAAACAACAAAATACATGAAAATTCAAGGCCAGGCATGGTAGTTCATACCTGTAATCCCAGCACTTTGGGAGGCCAAGTCAGGCAGATCACTTGAAGTCAGGAGTTCAAGACCAGTCTGGCCAACATGGTGAAATCCTGTCTCTACTAAAAAGACAAAAATTAGCTGGGCATGGTGGCGGGCGCCTGTAATTCCAGCTACTTGGGAAGCTGAGGCAGGAGAATTGCTTGAACTTGGGGAGTGGAGGTTGTAGTGAGCCAAGATCATGCCATTGCGCTCCAGTCTGGGCAACGGAGTGAGACTCCTCAAAAAAAAAAAAAAAGTAAATTCAGCTTGCTGAAAGTGTACTTGTTTGTGTGTGTGTGTGTGTGTGTGTGTGTGTGTGCGCGCGTGCGTGCCCTCAAGCCTCCATAAATTAAAAATACAAATCAAAAATACAAAACATTTCGATTTCATTCTTTGCCTTCCATGCACATTAAAGGGTTTGGTTTAGACCAAGACTGGTAGTTCATTGTGATTCCATCAGCTAAAAGGCATGGATTATGTTATGTAAAATATTCCACAGAACCATTGTTAACTGTGCAGTTCTATTAAATGAAGTCACTGGGCTCGTTTTTCTTCTGAGACATGTTTACTATAGCTTATTTTATTGAACCCTGCTAAGAAAATTATAGATCATGATCCCCAAATAGGCAGAACCATGACCATTATGGTCTCACCCTCAATTCTATTTGAATTTGGGGCATGCTATTCCCTGGTCTATAGTGAATTAAAAAAAAAACTTCATGCTAAATTTTGTGTGTTGTTCTTGTGGCCACCTCTGAGTTATGTTGTCTCAGGATTTATAGTTGTCCTTCTAGGTCAGGATCTGTCAGTGTATTTCATAAGCAGTGACTAGGAGATCTAGGGTAACCACAACTCACTGTGCATGTCTCAGGACATCCAAGGATCCCTGAGAGGGTAGACTGGAGTGGCAGAATGTCCTCACACTTCGAATTTACTTTGGGCATCTTCCTAGAATCAATTGCTTTTGTCAAAAGGCCCTCTCCAAATGCTCTGCTACTTGATGCCTTTGCCCATGCTGTATGTCTTGGAGCACTGCTTTTCCCTTTCATTCTGAGAGATGCCTTTCAAGTTCACTGAGAATGTCAATTTCTTAATTTTAGCTTTCCCTGGTCCCTTCATCCCCGAGGAAGGGCATGATTAATTACTCCACACACACACACACACACACACACACACACACACATATATATACACACACACACACATATATATATACACACACATATATATATACATATATATACATACATATATATATATATATATATATATATATATATATATATACACACACACACACACATATGCACCAGATTCTATGTGAGGCACTGAGGATTCAAAGATGAATACAGGTTCCTACTTCCCCACCTCTTCCTACCCCATATCTCAGGTTCATAGTCCTGGGAGACAAGCAAACATTCAGCAGTGTGACTAGTGCTATGTATCAGATGGTGGAACCGTGGAGATAGAAGCTGTTTAGATTTACATCTGCCCTAGCACTTGCACTATATTAGTTTATTTATGTAACTCTCTTCTAGACTAGACTGTGCTTCTTAAGGTCAGGGACTCATTTTACTAATCTTTGGGTTGCCAGCACTTGGAGAGTGTCCCCCCATGTGCTAGCCATCTGTATTATGAATCCAGAGGTGAAAGATGTGGTCCCTGTGCTTAAGGAACTTTTCCCTTGGTGGAGGAGATAGATATACCATGCTCAGATTGAAGAAAGTATGATAGGGGCACATAAAGGAAAAATATCTCACAATCTGGGGAAAGGCTGTCAGAAAACTAGAGAAAGCATTGCTTAAGTTGGCATTTGAAGGCCATTTGAGTCAACTGAATAACAGAATTTAAGGCAAGATGCTGCTAGAGATACTGAATGAGGGCATCCTGAGATTTATGTCAAAGGCCATAGAGAGCCACTGAGAGATTTTAAAGGATATTCTGTTAACAGACCAGAGGCAGACGGACCAGTTGGTAGGGCCCTTGAATTTTTCCAGGTGAGAGGAGTGCCGAAACTAAGGCAGTAACTGAGCCATTGAGGGTCAGCTTGGCTGTGGGTCATGATGGAAACAAATGACTGCCGGGTTTCTGAGTTGGGCAAGTCACAAGTGGTGCCAGTCCCTGGGACAGGAAATGCAAGAGTGTTCTAAGACAGCTCTCTCTGGGTGCTTCTCTGTCTCTTCTCTGACAGCCTTCATTACTCGTCCCTCAATGTGGCTGATTAATGAAAGGGAATTATGCCTGTTCTCCAGAAGCTTCCCCACTAGAGGTCTGCCCAGTCTAGCCATCGTGGCTCTCGCCTATGCGTGAAGAAGCCTCCTTTGAGGGGACCCTTTCCTGGTTCTAGCAGGTGCCTTGCCTTCTCCACCAAGATGCCAAAGTCCTTGGGAAGCAGAACTGCCTTGCAGATCTAAGGCCATTTCCCATCTGTGTCTTTGCTCCAGGCCAGATTTCTATTTGCTGATTCTGTGGTCCAAAGAAAAGCTACTTCTGAGTCTTAGAATGGATTGTCATTTTCACAAGAACAGAAAACTACATGTTCTCACTCATAAGTGGGTGTTGAACAATGAGAATACATGGACACAGGGAGGGGAACATAACACACTGGGGCCTGTCGAGGGGATGGGGAGCCAGGGGAGGGGTAGTCGGGGGGTGCTGGGGATATTGGGGAAGGATAGCATTAGGAGAAATACCTAATGTAGATGACGGAGTGATGGATGCAGCAAACCACCATGGCACGTATATGCCTATGTAACAAACCTGCATGTTAGGCACATGTACCCCAGGACTTAAGTATAATAAATAAAAAGAAACAAAGAATGGATTGTTATTTTCTAATCTCATTTGTCGTTGGGCACCTGAGGATTCCAGACAAAGCTGTGCTTTATTCCATCTGACATCACAGTAACAGTTGTTGTGACCAGCTGCATAGGCCAGGGCCAATTGCCCAGGTTCACGTAGCTTCTCCAGTCAGCTGCCGCGGTGGCAGCAAGAGCCTCGGTCTCATTGTGGGTACTTGTTTGCAGATTGAATCCCTTTGTGTCTGTCACATTGGATCTGAGTCATGGCACAAAAAATGTATCAGGGGTTCAAGGTGGGTTTGATGCAACCTGTTCTTCCCCTCCAATTTAGTGGTTCATGAAGAGTTCATACAAGTATTGTCAGCAAGTGGAGAACAAAGTGTCACCTTTATTATAGGCTGAGCTTGTGTTCAATAAATCCCCCCAAAGTAGGGCATTTAGTAAATTCAGCTGGTAAACGTGGCTTAGGCCGTCCTGTCTCCCTGGGACCTGCATGCTCTGATGTGGTGGTAGGTGAGCAAGGTTTGCTGA